AATACCAAATTAATTTCTAATTAAATAGTAATTAAATAATATATATTTCTAATTAATATATTATTCTTATAATATATAAATAAATCATTAAATAACCTCTTTCTCCAAACTCATCCTGTCAAGTTGCTATGGTGTAGGCAACCCAAAAGGACCACGCTACTATCAAATCAAGTACATCCCAATTACAATTATGGGCTTATACACCTAATCCAACAGTGATCATCCACGTCACTTTAGAGAAATCGATGCAAGGATGCAACCATACGCTTTCAAGGCTCATAACATTTCTTTAAACATGTCAATCTAATTCAAAGGACCATTACCTTTGCCAATGACATGAACTGTGCCAACCAAGAGGATTCTATCACTGATCACCGTTTAGGAAAGAGCAGGAAAATAGATGTAATAGCTTAGTATTGTAACATTCAATTTTAAGATAATAAGAATCAAATTTACCATTACATTTATTTACAAAAAACATCCATTGGGCTAAAAAATTAGCATCTGAAAAGTTGTATCATATTCTAACTTGGTTAACATACATGGATAGTACTTGCTAACGTGATCTCAATGATATGAGATTCATAAAAATCCGAATCAAAAGGAAAGAGTTACGGATTATATATACGTATAGAAATCAACCACTTAACTAATATTAATTAGGTCAAAACGGTACTTAAACATTGATTGATTTTTTACTAGAAGTGCAAAAAGGAGTTTCATATTACTCCTGAAGATATAAACATAGGACGAAGTTTGCTGAAAACACAATCCGTATGAGAGAGAGAGAGAGAGAGAGAGAGACAGAGATAATTTTTTTAAATCATTTATTTTTACCCTGTTAGGTACAAAAATGAAAGTCAAAACTAGCTAACGTAACCTAAAGTAAAATTGTAGTACTTATTTAGATCATCACATAGACATAAAAAAGGATTCGATCGGAGCTCACATGAAGAAGTTACGGTTTTTACAAAATCTTTTCTTCAGAACACTTATGCACACCTTCATCCCTCACTCTCTTTTCATTTTCTAAAGCTTCTTCCCTTGGAGTGGTCCCCAGGTTCCTAAGTTTGATTCAACCCTACATCAAAGGTTTCATGCAACTAAGGTGAGTTCACAACCTCTATTTCACTATTTTAAATGTTTACCGAGGGAGGGAGGGGGGAATACATGATTATCAAATGTTTTTATCAAATATATTTATGTCTATAAATATCAAATCATTTTATAAAGCTTAAAGCCTTAGGATAATATAGCTATAGATAATATGCCTAGATGTAAGCTATGATATTATGCCTAAGATTTATGATGCCCAATAACCTATGAAGAGATAATACCTAGATGTTATAGTGGTCAAATTTCTAGGATAACATAGAACCTATAAGTTATGTTGGTTAAATATAGGGATATGCACAGTATCTAACTGTTGTTCTACCTAAATATCATATTTTCAAATAACCATAACTAGGGTGTATATATATATATATATATATATATATATATATGTATATATATATATATATATATATATATATATATATATATATATATATGAATACTTATATATACAAAATAATTATGGGATCAAAATTTATAATTATCAAATATAAGATAAAAGATTTATTTTGTGATAGTTATAGGAAATCCCTAGGAAGGACAAAAGATAAAAGATAAAAGATAAATACCTAAGGTTAACGCGTTAGTGAGCTGTTAATATTCATCCAAAGGCCTTGATTAAATTTGGCATTCCGCAGTACCTATAAATCGAGATCTTGTGAGAGCTAGAAGTATATGTATAGATCTATAAGGGGATTGACACTCCACTTGAGATTTCTAGCTACAATCCCAGCAGGATAACTTTATTATTGTTCACTATTCGACGTCTGATGAAGCATCGTGGCGATGCAAATTATTAGTGAAACTACGTCGATTTTGGGGGCTCATGGTAATACATTATAAAAACCTTGGAGATCCGAATACTATTAGGGACACCTTAGAATGGTAGATAAAATATGTTAGGGTTGTTGGTTATCCTACAAAGATAGTTAATTAGGATTAATAAGATATCCTGAAAAGATAATAAAATAGGATCGTTAGACGTCGTAAAAAGATAGTAAGATAGGGTTGATAAAATATTTTATGAAAGGTTTTTTCTAAAAGAATAATGATTCACCAGCATTATGTTGATGTTTTCAAAAAGTACATGTGTTCTCAGGGAGATGAGTGCGGAGGAATGTTATGCAGAGCTTGAAGAGGTCTTCAAAGAAGCTTGTTGGAGTTTAGTTCCGTTTGTTTATCATTTCTAGTTACGTTAGGTTGTGTGCTTGTCTTTCAAACAATGTAATCCCATAATAATTAATAATAGATAAAAGTAATGTTTGTGATATACATTTGTTTTATGTTATATATATATATATATATATATATATATATATATATATATATATATATATATATATATATATGCATGCGTCGATCAAATGTCCCCACGTTCCCACCGCCCGACATTTCTGCCACCAACCGGGGGTGTGACATAAAAAAAGGCTTCAAAGGCTCACAACCTTTCCCTTGATATAAAAAATATGTAAGTCTTAAATGCCATGGGGTGACTTTCTCAGCTTGACTTAGATGACTTGGCCAGAGTGCAAATCTCTTAGGCCCAAGACTTAGAACAAAGTCTTGAAAAGGTATCTGCAAAACCTTACTAAAAAGGAGTACCTTACTAAAAAATGAACCAATCAAGGTTCATGTGAATGGTTAGCCAAAGCCTCGACCTAAAAATACAGGCCTATGACTCAAAAGAAGGACGTGACCTGAATTCAATAGAGCGAGCTCCTTACTAAAAAGGAGTACCTTAATAAAAAGATGAAATAGTCAAGGTTTACATGAAAAGTTTAGCCAAAGCCTCAACCTAAAAATACAAGCCCATAACTCAAAAGAAGGATGAGGCCTAAATTCAATAGAGTGAGCTCCGGAGCCAAAGCCAAATTATTACGGCTAAAATTGAGCAACTCTCATCAATGAAAAGATATTATTCTTTGAGTCCTAAAAACTTACCAACCAAATGGGAACCACACTACAAATTCCTAAGGCAAACACACAAAATTTTCAGTGGAAATAAACCATAAAACATGCTACCTCAAATACCAACACTAATCTTTGAGAAGAATTCAAACGTATAATGGCCAACATAAATCACCTGGGATAAAAAACAAAGAAGCTTTAAAACAAAGCCAGCCATAATATAAGCATGATCAGTAAAACTATTGTTTGTCGGACTGTTAGTCCCCAAAACTATAGATCCAAATTAGTAATCAGTGAAGTAATAACAATCAAAATAGAGTGTAGATGGAGTAGAAGAGAAATAACATCAAGCATGCACACATCTATTGCTCATAAATGTCAGGTACACCTTGAAAGTACACACACATACGTCACAGTTCAGCAACAAGTACAATCTGAAACAAACCAGATCCTATAAATAGTACCTTCACCAGCACACGAGTGTGCAGTCATACACGCGTGTGAGGCCACACACACTGTGTGTGGCCGCACACACGAGTGAGGCTACAGACATACTCCAAGTTTAACCACTACACTGCATTACATACACTTCCATCCTAATCAGATCTATACAAAATTAATGCCTAGCTCAAACCATAATATTATAGACTATCAATCTCCCCCTTGGTTTGAGGCTAGCATAGACTTGATCTTCATTCAGCTGGATTTTCAAATAGCTTTAGATCTGATCTTGCCATGGAGCCCATCCACATTCTTCCGTTAATGATTGTGGCGACCATTGCAGTAAACTCTTTAGCAGCCGCCTCCATAACCTCTTTTCTACATATAATCTGGTGATGAGACAGAGTGCAGATATCCCTTTCCCTGAACCGAAGAAAATCTTTAGCACTTATCAACCTCAATACTTGTTCTCGATCCTTGAATTTTATAGCAGTAGTGGCAGTTTCATCGTCGTAAGCCCATAATTCCATTTTATCAAGATATCCCTCATGGAAGTGTTGATGGATAGGAATTTCCTTCTGCTATTTAGTCGCAGGCCAAAGTATTATTTTCATAGGCTCGCCTGATTCTGGATCTAGAATTTCTTTGTCTTTTCGGTACAAGGCTCTTGCAGTCTTCATCATTGGAAAGTTTTCCTTGACCTGTTTGTAAAGAAATCTTTTGAAGTTAGAGGCACTAGGATCTTCCGAGGGATTATGGAATTGGGCTCTCAATAGTTCATAAAGATCCACTTTGGTCCATGAGTTAAAATCATGGGTGCTCTAGTAATACTCATGATTTCCTGAGTTCCTTTTCACAACCCACAAATTTGTTTCAGGATCAAAGGCCCACATTCGAATTCCCGATCTATCTCCGTAATCATCACCAAATTTTCTTTTCTTGAGATCAGTAACTGTTAGCACAGGGTCTTTGGCTTTGCGATTCTCATTTGAATTCTTCATGAAGAGTAACCCTTCGCTTTTGTTGGCTGTTACGGTTCTCTTTCCCTGTTTGATTATTATTCGGGCTCTGCTTCCTTCTAGCTCCTTTTCAAATCTTTTGACAACAGAGGTTGTTCTAGGAGCAGGTGGATCGACTGGAAAGTCTTCAAAGATAGACTCTGTGGGGGCTATGGGAGGATCATCGATTCCGTGTGGCTAATGAAAAAGGGCTTTGACTTTTTCACCAAATGCGTCATACAGAACGTTCTTTAGATTGAAGTAGCTAGCAGTCACTGAACCAAGATTCTTCTGTAGATCTTTAATCTGTTTTGTCTTCTCCTCATCCTTTGCTCTAAGCTCTTCAATGTAAGAAGTGAGTTGATCCATCTGAATGGTCTTCTCAATTAGTTCCTCTCAAAGCACTCCAATTTCTTCTCGAAGATCAGACGAAGAAGATTTATCATCACCTGTGTGCTCATCTCTAAATAATATTCTTTTGCCACGAGAAGAGGTTGGGCTGTGTTGGGCCAGGTGTTTAGCCAGTCTTATTGAAGCTTAATCTAATGAAGGTTTGGTGGGAGAATATTCTGGAATGGATGATGAGCCGCCTGTCTCAAACATAGTACTCGGGCCTTCATCAGATTGTATTGGAGAGTAAGCAGTAGTAGCAGTGACAGTGGAGAAAACATGATGTGCATTGCCCACAATGGGTACCTCCAGACTCATAATTGATTGACTTGTTTCCATAGAAGACTGAGAGGTATGGGGCTGAGCTGAATCAGGAACAATTAGAGCAGATGTTGAGATAGTTGACACAGAGGGAGGAATCTCTGACATCACATCTCCTTGACTTTACGCATCCTCCATGGGCTTGGATGTGGAGAGCAGAATTTTGAGATCATTTCCTTATTCCCTAGTCTTGGTTGCCGAAGAGCAACTTCATTGACTTTAATAAGGAAGCCGTTGAGGAATCCTAGAAGAGGACCAAATTCTTCATCATTAAGATCAAGATCAATGTTTGTCGGGATATCATCACTAAACCCTGTGAAGTCAATTTCCTTCAAAAATTGTACATCACCATAGAGATCATCATCATCATCATCCTCATGAGTAGATTTAGTTTCATCCTCCATATGATAATCATGTTCCTCCACCACTGTGGATGTAGGAGAATCATGAATTTCCTCAAATTCTGGTTCAGAGGTTGAATGCACAATGTCTTCAGACTCCGTAGGGATGGATTGATCTTCCGATTCCGACCGATCATTTTCTTCAAAAATTCCGAATTTGATCAAGGGGAACTTTCCTTCAAAGATGAATTTTCCACCTCTCTTTTGTTTCATTAGCCGAAAAGCACTTGGACCAACGGATTTAAGATCCAAAGTTTTGTTTCCTCTTCGCAGCTCGGGATGCATAACATTGAAGATGATTTGCAGAACCAACGGATTTTATCTCTCTTATTCCCCTCGAGATTTAGAACCAACTCATTCATTATAAACTTCGATAAGTTGAACTCAACTCCTGAAGCCAAGGTTCTGATTGCTCCAGTGTTAGTTGAGGAGATTTCATTTGCACCGGATCTCCTGCCAGAAATACAACTCACAAACACATAAGCTAGATACTTCTAACAAGGAGGAAGCAATTTCTTGATAGTAGGGGGAAAAGTTCCCTCGTACCCCATATGGTCTAAAATATCCTGGATTTGATGAATATTAATTTCCATGGAGAATTTTGATCTGTCATCGATCTGGAGTGATTCCCGAATGATATTCTCTGACACTTGAACTTTCTTTCCTTCAATTGTAGCTTCAATGAATTTTCCATCCTTGTTGTCCTTCTTCACAACTGCGCTTCTCCAAAAGTCTTTGATCAGGCTTTGGTAAATTGCAGGACAGGTTGCTAATGCATGGACCATGCAACACTTCTTCAAACCATCAACAATGAACTTTAAATCATTGTGAGCTGTAGGAGGATCTTCAAGGAAAATAGCAGAGTTGTGAACCTTGGCAAATTCCAGGTCTCCCATCTTCATCTGAAAAGAAACACAAGCAATCATTAGGGCACAAACGATTTTGATTATAACGGAGATTCTACAACCACACATGAAAGTTCACACAGCCGCACACGTGCAAGTGTGCTACCGTAGCCGTACACGCTCAGCCGTTCACAATTCAATGTAGCCGTACATGGTTCAGCCGCACACACCCGTGTGCGGCCGTACACACTTTGGGTGGTCGCACTTCCAGATGAAACATTTGTTCCTTCGATCAAACAGCAAACAATGATTGATTTTTCATGAAAAATTTGTTATGAGAGTCATCTTCATGAGATTTACCAGAAATGTGCTTCGATTTCAAGAGATTTGATGGAATATTCAAAGTTTTAGAGAGAGAGAGAGAGAGAGAGAGAGAGAGAGAGAGCCGTGTGCGGTTGAGAAAATAAAAAATGGAAACAGTGCCGGTAAATTTTACACCGCACACACCCTTTATATACTCAAAAAAAATTCATTTTCTCCTCCTCAACTTTTTAATAATAAAAAAACGATACCCATACTCAAGTATTTTTCAAGAACAAACCATTTTGATGATTAAAAGTCTAAAATTTATTATTCCTAAGGATTTTAAAAAATAAAAACTAAAAGTAAACTTAAAACTAAGATAAAAATAAAAATAAAAATAGACTAAAATAAAATAAATTGGAAATACTAATAACCACAAATATTAAATTTAATTTTAATCCTATAAATTGTTTTAACCTTTTGAGATGAGGGATCAAAGTTGTTAGACAATCGTTGTTCATTTATCAATTCGATCTCCTTCATGAATAGATCTGGTCGATCGCCGGAAGTCCATTTAACACGAAAATTTTTGTGACAAATTTTGGACATGCTATAAGTGACAAGACATATTGACCCTATGTTACTAGATAAAAATTCCTAAGGACCGTCTATCTGACGACGACCAAGGATATTGTTGTCCACCTAAATTGAGCAGCGAGATCTACAGACAATCTATAATTGTTCAATTTTAGATGTACTAGAACATGTTTCCCGCTTCCTGATATACCCCAATAATCAAGAACTTCCGAGATACTCCTTACTTTAGGTAAGCAGACTATTATTCATAAAGAGGATAGATTCAGATTATTATTAATTATAGTTTTTAGAGGGATTGAGAAGTAGAAGGTTGCATTTGCTGTGTACCAGGTCGGATTGATAATCCCACAAAGGAGACAACATATGACTAACAGATAAGAAGATTTTCATAGATATAATATTTAGAGAAATAGATTTGCGTATATTGCAGTCCAGGTCAGATCTCTTCCAATCACGTAGAGGAGGCATCATATGATTAACAGTAAGAAAGAAAGAAAATAATTTTTTACAGACCTACTTTATCGGAATTCCCCAGTCGCCCCGTCAATACCGGAATTAAGGACAGAATCCGTACATCGAGGAAAAGTAAAACCACAGTTCTAGATACGGGTTCTTTAATGTGACTTCGGTATTCTCATGTATATCTCCCTACTCAAAATATTCGAGCATCGTATTGTCAGGCTAAACGGATCTATCTAGGTCAAGATTTGTCAAGTCACTTGATTTCTTAGGTTCATTTTTGCCTAGTCAAGTCCATTAAATTTTTCGTGCCTACCAGCACATCGAATACCGAGCCTAGACAATTCAGCTTTGGTATTTTACACAGATCCAGATTGCCTGTTATCACTTGTTGATATCACTTCCCAAATCATATCATGGAACACACACACACACACACACACACACATATATATATATATATATATATATATATATATTAAATTTTTAATTTTCTAATGTTTTTGGATTTTCTAATTTTCTATTGTTTTTGTATATTCTAATTTTTAATGTTTTTGGATTTTTGATTTTTCTCCCCCTAAATTTGTGCATAAAATAAAGGAAAAGAAATTGCGCAAATTTATCCTAAACTAAATACAAAAAAAAAATCCTCAAAACAGATCATTTTCAGAAAATTAACTAGCACATCGAATCGAGCTTTGTTAAACGGCTTGGTGAACAGATCTGCTACATTATTATCAGAGCGTACGTGTTCTAGCCGAATGAGTGAACGCTCATAACATTCTGTGATAAAATGAATTTTGATGTCGATGTGCTTGGTTTTTGAGTGCTGGATCGGGTTTTTCGCAATTTGGATCGCAACCTCATTATCACAGAAAAGAGGGGTTTCTTGAAAATTCAAACCGTAGTCCAACAGCTGATGTTGGATCCAGATGACTTAAGAACAACATGCAGACATGACAACATACGCCGCTTCTGCTATTGAGGTGGAAACGGTATGCAGCTTCTTGCACTGCCATGAGACCAATATATCTTCCAGAAATTGGCATCCTCCTGAAGTCGATTTTCAGTCAAGCTCACACCCACCATAGTTGATGTCTACAAAAGCGTAAAGGTCAAATTCTGGATTTTTCGGATACCAAAGACCCAGTTCTGGGCAACCTTTGAGGTACTGAAAAATCCGTTTAACAGCAAGTAAATGAGAGAGTTTAGGATTAGCCCGGTAGCGATCACATTGACAGATCGCAAACATTACATCTAGGCGACTGGCAGTCAGATACATGAGTGATCCAATTATTGATCGATAGTGTTTCTGATCTACGGATTCACCTTCAAGATCAGAGGTCAGAAGAGGTCTTTCCGCCTTGGGTGTAAGAGCAAGTTTCGCATCTTGGAACCCGAACTTCTCCAACACATCATCCACATACTTGGCTTGGTGAATAAGGATTCCGGTTGAAGATTGTTGGACCTGAAGCCCCAGAAACGTGGTCATTTCCCCAAGCGAACTCATCTCGAACCGCTTCGTCATCACTGCTTCGAACTCTTTGCAAAGTTGTTGGCTTGTCGACCCGAAAATAATTTCGTCCACATAGATTTGAATAAGAATTTGATCCGGACCAACATGTTTGATAAATAAGGTTTGAACAATGGTACATCGGGAATAGCCGTGGTTGAGCAACTGCTGAGTTAGGGTAGCATACCAAGCTCGAGGAGCTTGATGCAGCCCATACAGAGCTTTTTCTAACTTGTAAACATGGTTGGGAAGCTTTGAATTTACGAAACCGGGTGGTTGGTCAACGTAAATCTCCTCCTTGACCTTGTCGTACAAGAAAGCCATCTTGATGTCCATTTGGTATACAGTGAAGTTCATATAGGAAGCATATGCAAGGAAGATACGAATGGCTTCCAAGAGAACGACCGGAGCATAAACTTCTGTATAATCAAGATCCTCAACTTGTCGAAACCCGTGAACCACTAATCTCGCCTTGTTGCGTACAATGGCGCCTGAGTTGTCTTGCTTATTCCGAAAGACCCATCTGGTGTGAAGAGATTTCTTTCCTTTTGGCAGCTCCACCAACTTCCAAACCCCGAGTTTTTCGAATTGGTTAAGTTCCTCATGCATGACGTCAACCCAGCTGGGCTCATTCAGAGCCATTTCGACATTTGTGGGCTCAATCTGAGAAATAAAGCAAGAGTAGAGACACATATTAATATCTCCACTCTAACTTCGCGTTTGAACACCGTCGCCCAACTGGCCAATGACGTTCTCTATTGGATGATCGCGCTGAACGTGTGCAGGGATCTCGTAGCTGATATCATTGACAGAGACTGGAAGAGTATGAATGTTAACCGCTCCATCATTTGCTGTGTGATCCATAGTAGATGAACAAGGTTCGGTCATAGAATCTGCTACAAACTATTCATCAATACTTTACGAAAAGAGAAGTTCCATCAGATTTGAAGTTACAACGGAAGTCTCGTGGCTCATGAACTCTCTTTCAAATGGAGTTAGAGGAGTAGCAGCAGCATCAGGAGAAAGTCGTTGAGGAGAAGACTCAGAAGAATCAGTGTGAAAAGAGGGCACCATTGGAGGATCAGAAGAAACCAGTGGTGGTCGGTAGACAACTTCGCCTTCTTCATCTTCAATAGTAATCTTTGAATTTGACGAAGATCCTGTTTGATCATCTGAGGACACATTGAATGATTTGAAAAGAGATGTGTAGTCAAATAGCCAATCGGGGCCTACTCTTTCATCTGTATCATTTTCTTCGAGCCAACGAACATCGAAAGATTGTACTATCTATTTTTTTTCTTGTTGTAAACCCTGTAGGTAGTTCGAGCAGTATATCCAACAAAGTAACAGTCATCAGCTTTTGCGTTGAATTTGGGGTTTGATTCCAAGTAGAGAAGGGTGCAAGGGCAGCTAAATACTCGGAAATGGATGACAGATGGCTTGTGTCTGTATAGAATTTTGTATGGTATCTTCACTTTGGATTTGTTGATCAGCACGCGATTTTGAACATAGCACGCCGTGTTAATCGCCTCCGCCCAAAAGAACACAGGAAGTTTGGAATCACAGAG